CATGTTGTGATAGATTTTTGGTGTGTCGAACATGAAGCAAAACCTCTCCCATTCATGACTCGTGCGGGACGTAGTTTCCACACACACGACGAGGGTGGTTGGCCTATCCGGAAAACACCCCGGTCGCAGTATGAGATTTGTACCAAAGTGAGGAGTTCTGAAGGAGTATGTCACACACAAAAACAGGCCCTCCGCACAAAAGTCAAAATGAACCTGCACCGGAGAAAGCGAAGATACAGCAAAATATTATCACAGCAAGTTTTAATATGTGTTTTCTTGTACAATTAGCCGTTAGGTTTCCATATGGTAACATGATTGAGAGAAACACAGGGTATTAACTTCAAAGTTCCCTTTTCCTGCTTTCACAACTATTTCCAACAACTATTAGACCCAATATATATACCCTAGAAGTCCAAAGACTATATTTTGACCGGCTGAAGTAAAGGAAGTTCCCTTTCAGGTCCCCTAAAGACCATTCTTTTTATAGTCTTTGACTCCCAGAGTATATATACAGTACAAAGTCAATTTCATTGTATTTGGGTCCCATCACTTTGCATTTGGGTCCTATGCATTTGGATTTGATGTCATGAGATGGCATCAGAAGACCCACAATCCGCTTTCTTTTCTCCAGCGGTCAGTGGATGTGAGCTGTCTCGTCAGCGGGTCATCCCCTGGCCAAAGGAGAAATAGGGATTTGGACAGACGAACATATACAAATTCACGCCTTCCAAATGTTGATGGAAAAGATCTGGTTCTATTTCCTGGTGAGCATAAAGGAATGAACCAAATAATGGGTAAAGAACCTGAGGTCGCAGCTTTTTTTTGCCAAACATGTTTCATAAGCGCTGACCTAAAGTGTTTCAAGACACCGTTGCAACTGTTGCAACATGCTGCAAGTTGTAACCCTTTGTAAGGAGTAATAAGGTTCATTTCTTTCACGGCGCGCGAGTTTGTGGCCCTGACCCCGCGGCAATCACCGCTGCCGATATGGATCAGATTGGCGCATACAAAACTTCCAAGGAAGGTTCAGTCTAGATTTCACTTTGAGATTGGTTGAGAAACATTCCTCAACCATTGCTGCAAGACATCAGGGAAACGGACATAAAGTAATAGTAGTAAGTAGGAAGATCGTGACCCAATCTGGAGCTTCACTACACCAAGCGAACTACTTGCCCTTCAGTCATCCGCAAAGGCTTCCGCAAGAAATATAGCGGCTTACCTCGCTCAATCCCAGGTCTAGTGGTCGAACGAATGTTTGGAATGGATCCTTTGAGATGACAGCTCAATTAGAAACAGATTCCATTGTCAATTTGCTGCTGAGTTGCGAGGGTTCATCTCCTCACAGAAAAAACACACCATAATCAAGTGAGATCATAGTAGCTGGTTTTAGAGTGAGTGAAATCATAGTAGCTGGTCTTAGTTGCTGGTTCATCCAAGGATCATTGGGTTCCTTGACATAGAACACCCGCCAAACCTTCTTCAAGAGACGTGATGAAGCTTCATCCAACGCCTGACAGAACCAATTATTGCACATGTCCCTCGCAATAATCCTCAAAATAATTGTTTGAAGCAAGTGTTTGGAACGGATTGATTCCCCTGCCTGGGTTGTGAATGCTGAGGCAACTGCAGAGTACTTCAAACCATGTATACTGGTTGGAGCTGACCAGGAGAACCACATCTCATTCGCTTTCGGGGTAATCACATAGCCATCATGACCTAGGGAGGGGCAGGAAGAAGTAGATGACAAACTATCTATCAGGAGAGGGTTGGAAAGATGTTGCAAGTGTGATGGCAAAAGACCCCCTAATAGGAGACAAGGAACCGTCCTCACTCGCAGCCCCCCTAACCAGCTCATGCGAGTTAATGGTCACGTCGCAGAGTCCTTCCTCTTCCAGTTCCCTCAACAGCTCACGCCAACTACACATGTCACTGTCACTTGTCGACTTCTTTTGCGACTCTTGGATCTCAAGCACGACTGCGTCACTGTCGCGGTGCCATTTGCACACCATTGTCCTGTCCATGTCGCCTGCACGGGCAAACAAAGGAGGAATCAGATGTTTGTCAAAGGTCCAAAAGAAAAGCTGTAGAGTTAGACAGAAAGTAGCTGACACTCACTTTTCCCCCGAACTTGATTCACCTTGGTCTCCAGACTAGTGTTCAAAAACACTCTAGGTCTGAGGATGGCGCCTTCAAGGTGACCCTCGCACATCTAGTGTATGGATATCTTATGCTGAGCAAAATATGATTGGTTTGCCCTTAAAATATCATTGGCTGTCGGTTCATGAAACTATGCCCAGCATCAAAACTTGAAAGAAACATTTGCAATGAACTTGCATTGCACCACTTCCTACCCTAAGCGGCTCAGTCTGCCAACTCATCTTCATCCAAGTCCTCCTCTTCTCCCTCCTCTGGGATGAAGTCAAGGCAAGGCCTTTGTATCCTTCTTGTCCACCACCTCAAGGTCAGGCTCCTTGGTTGGCTCAGTTGGCTGCGACTTGTTGACCTTAAGCCTTCTCCGGGACAATTCGGAATTGGACATTGCCTTGATGGACTCCACACGTGCAGGATTGGATCGCCACCTAAGCCATGGATGGACATTTGAACATTTTGATTCAAAATGATCAAAATGTCACCATTGTGGGCAAATGACAAATCATGCACTGGGTAAATGACGTTTTTTGGGCTTCTTGGAACACTTCACGTGGCTTCCACTCAGGGTGCTGGTCCCTAAGCTTCTTGGATTCTTCTGCGATATGCTTGTAGTAAGCGTCACGCAAACCCACACGCCCACAGGTGCCAGTCGCCTGCAAGCAAGTGGAATTGACTGACTGTAGTAGTTGTATAGAAGGTTAAAGCTTAATTAGCATGAACATGCATGAAACACCTTTCGATTCATTGGAACACCTCTCCACTTTCCTGAAGAGTGAGCCATGGCCCAGCCTTCCTGGTCGAGCTTGAAGCTGAAGGTGGTGCTGCCTACGAAGGACAGGAAATGATATCGAGTCGGACGGGTTAATTTGTTTTTCACTCAGCCTGACGCGTCTTCCGCGCTTGCTTTACCTTCCCTTGCATCTTTGGGGTTGTCTTCTCCTTCTTCTTCTTGGTAGGCTCAGTCTGGCCAAGAATCAAGGTGGTTCCACTGTCCTCATCTTCATCCTCTTCGTCACTCAACTCGGATTCGGGATCCAAGGGGTTCTCTTGTTCCTCCTTTGTCAGTTTCTTGGCCTTTTTCTTGGCAGCCGCCTTCTTTGTCGCCTTCACCTGCTTCAAGACAGCCAGCTTTCCTCCCTTCCTCTTCCCCTTGATTGACCTGGGAGCACTTTCTTCATCCACCACCTCATTCTTGTCATTCTTGGATGCCTTCAGGGCCTGCAAGTGTCGTCGTCGCTGCGCGGCTGTATCAGCTCCTTGCGTTGTGACTTCAGACTTGGTCTTGCGCTTCTTGCCTTTTCCTCTTGGCTTCTCAAGCCCTTCTGCCACCTCATTCTTCTCTGCTACCGCCTCGGCACCCTTCTCTCCCTGGTTCTTCTCCTGTTCCTCCTCGTCCTCAGCGGCGCGATTCTCTTCCTTTGCCTTCGTTCGCTTTGTTTTTTTGGTCTTGCTTCCATCCTCCTCCACTCCCTCATCGGCCTTTCCCTCATCCGCCTTAGCCTTGGGCGGCCGACCTCGTCTCTTTGGCTTCTTCTCTTCCTCCCCCGTTCCTTCATTGTTTGTCTTTTTCTTCTTGTCATTGTCCTCATCCCTTGAATTCTCCAACGATGCCTTCAGCCTCTTGGCGGCTGTCTTGATAGTGGAATCCAGCTTGGCAGAAGCATTCGTGCTTCCGGCTTTGCTGTTCTTTGTCTCCTCCTTGGTCTCCTCTGAGTTACCCTTGGTGCCAGCTGCATTCTGGTCAGTCTCACGTTTGTTTTTCTTGTGATCCTTCTCATTCTTGCTATTCTTGTCATCCTTGTTCTTCGGTTCATTCTGCCTGAACTGCTGCATTCGCAACTCCTTTGCTTCCTGCTTGAGCTCAGACTTGGCATGGTCCAACTTTTGCTGCAACATGTCCACTGTGACATTGCTGAGCGGTGGATTGTTCTCCTGGGTGCTCCGTGCAACAGTCAAAGGCAATGTCTCAGCGACCTGGGCTTCACCAGCCTTTGCAACTGTCACCCCCTCGGTCGGTGGGCTTGGTGCCTTCTCAATCTCATGTCTCTTCTCCACTTGCTTTGATTTGTTTTCTTCCTTTTCTTCTCCTTCTTCTGGTCCTTCTTCTTCTTTCTTGAAGAGTTCCTGGTGACCAGGAATGGGCATGAGGGCAGCATGTATTTTTTTAAACTCACACGCCTGAAGAGCAGAAAAAGCAATGCCATGAATCAATGCCAGTCCTTGGGTCTATCACCAAAGACATCCAAATGGGAACCATATGGTTGGGTATCAAGACCAGGACTTGCTTCCGTCGCCTGAGAGTCCGTTGATAAAATGTGACAGGTGAGGTAATCCTACATAGGCCTTGAGGGTGCGATCCACGATCAAGCGTCTTTCGGTGTCCTCAATCAAGGCACCAGGAACCGTCCTATCATATCCATTATCATCGAAATCTGTGTGAAGTACAGAGGAGTGAGAGTGACAGACAAAGATCAGCTCTCCTCCTTGGCAGGAGTCTCCTTGGCGGCAGAGCTGCTTGGTGGAGTGAAGACCTCAGGTCAACTCGGCTCACGGCGACAGATTGGACATGAAGCGCAGGGTTCCTGACCGGTCTGCATGGTGGTGTTTGAGCAGTGCCAGGATCAAGTCGGGCCATCTTTTCAAAGTCCTCATTACGGAATTACATGGAATTAAGGGAAAAGGATTGTGAACTGTTTGTTGAAAAAAGATCAAATGGTCCTTCGCAAAGCCATGCTCGGACAAAAGTGCTTCAAGCGATGGCATCTGCAAGAGGTTCTAGTTGAGGCAGCCAAAGGGGACACTTGAACTTGAGCCACTAGCTGGTTGTAACAAACAAAATTAAATGAGCATCAACTGATGCCCCCAATATGTTTCATGAAGTTCCGTGAAAAAAGGGTGTGCCATGTCTCGCCTTTCTGACTCTTCCTCTTGAGGTCGGCCACTTTCGCTTGCTTCAAGAAGCGGGAGGTGCCATGGCCGAGGATGAATTCGTGGACGGGCAACTCAATGTTGACATGTGACGCCTCAAGGTAATCTCAGTTCACTCTGTTTAGTAGGGGAATGAAGTTGACACACAGTAAACCCTGTACCCAACCTGTTCCAATTTAACAACGACGGGGCGCAAGGAACAGTTTATAGTCCTGTCCTTCTTGAACTTGAAGAGTACCCCCACATCTCCTCTGAGCTGCAACTACGAGCAGGGTCGTCCCTGGATGCCTACCTGGAACCCTGCCCTCCACCACATAGGTCTCCAAGAGGTGTGCCATGCTGGTTGGCTCATCCCACTTCTCAAGCGGCGCCGGCTCTTCAGGTGGTGGCGGGGGGCGCTTCGATGGGCGTTGGCACGCTCTTCTCACCGAACCTTGGTTTTGGAAGTACTGGATGGTGGTGGCTTGTACCCCCTCAACTTAAAATTCAGGGCTACAATGACCGCTTGGTGAGAGATTGGGAGCTCTTCCGTTTTGCTGGGCTTGAGACTTGAAGATATTCCAAATCACTTACTGTATTAGCGCCAAAAGGCTTTGCATCAAAATCTGCCAGGAGCTGCTTCCATTCCGGCCCGTACACCACATCGTTGTAGTGGGAAGCACGAACTTTCTGCGGAAGGCTGAACGTATACTTGTCCCAACCCTTCCTCATTTGAGCGAGGTAAGCACGACTCAAACAAGATTCTAAAGCTAAGTGCAATAGATTGGTGGAGGTTTGAAAACTTGAACTGTAAGCCCAATGGTCTTGTTGGGATCCACAGAGACAGATACCACCTTGAAGCCACTGATATCAACCTCCTCCTCCACCACTGGCGGTTCCGGGTTGTATGGCCTGATATCCGGACCCATGTAGTGTTTGCCGGCTTTCCACCCCTTGAAGGGATCAAAGTTTGTTATGGAGAGGCATGTCTTTGCTTCGGATAATTAAAATTAGACATGGGACATCATGGGACCATTCATAGGTGTTCCCTACTTCTGAGATTCTGAGACTAAACAAATTGGGCTGGGTCGAAATGAGCAGCAACAGTTTCACAACTTATGGCCTGCATCAGCTCCAATGCTAGGACTTTCTGGACATAGTCTGTCAGGACCGGCTGCTTTGTCAAAGAGAGGTGGACAACCTTGAAGGCTTCATGATCCAAGTGCCACTTGAGGCATGTACGTTCCAACCAGCCGTCATAGGGCGTCGCGTTCACCACAGCAAGATTGCTGACGCTGACCTTGGCAAGTAGAGCCTCCAAGAGCGCCCTCGGAACATCTGGCCCGCTCAGGATCTGTGCTGCTTCCTGGGCCTCGCTCAAGGACCTCAATTGGCAAACTTCTGCCGAAACGAAACCTATACCTGACCATTGTTTGTTTGCCACGGTCTAAAACTAGCGGAACAACCTCGAACCTTCAGCAAAACGTTTTTTGGACAAGGTCAAAAGTCCTTTGCCCCTCGCTGGCATGGGGCAAGCTGTCCTTTTCAGCCTGTGGGACGATGTAGCCAGATTCTGGCTGCCACGGCAATACCTCCCTTGGAGACCTGCCCGCAAACACCCCATTATATATTAAAGGTTTCTAGCCTCAATGTCAAGATGACTTATTCGGGATTTAGCCTGAGAGTTTTATAATCATCTATTTTAAAAAAGACCCCCCACCTGTCGGACAACAGTTGGGAATCCTTGAACACGTTGCTGTCGGCGGTGTCTTCATGCATGACAAGCCAGCCATACATTTGTAGAGGCACCCTCTTCGAGGAATGAGGGGTCTCCATTCGCAGCGAGATCAGGTGATTGGACAATCGGCGTCCATCAAGTCGGTCTTCCACACGCCTTCAGGGTTTGAATATTAATTTCATAACTACGCCTGGTGGATTCGAGTGAGTTTAAGTTTTGGGTGGTAAGGTTTGCAGAGTTTGACAGGTCTTTGTTTTCCCCGGCGTCCTTCGTTCTCTGCGTTGACCGTTTGCCACCTTTTCACTAATCAAGTGGGGCGCCAGGATGAGTGCCACTGACCTCAAAGGCTGCTTTGTCAAAAGCGCGGTGACCAAGTCAAGGCAATGGTTGAGGTCCTTGCCATTGAGCCTTCCACACTTAGTGAAGTCGACCCACATCAAGAAGGAGTCCATGTTCTTGTGGGCTGCAAGATACTGAGGGACAAGTTGCATTTAGAGGTTCTTCTCAATTACTTTTAAATCTAAATTTAATAACAGTGGGTGGAAACAGAAGAAACATTTTGGCATCCCAACCCCTCCTGCTCCAGATAGGCGAGACATTGCTCTTCAGACCCGGATCTATGCAAACCATTCTTCTCTAAGTATCCACTGATCACACTGGCACCAATTGCGTTTTCATTGCGCATGTGGCATACGCGCTGGACACGCTTGGAGCGTGCTGATTTCTCCACCGCGTCGTAGACCTTGGAGATGGTCGCCACATCACGTGCTAGCATGAGTTTATCATGCTGCCACGCCTTTGCACGAGCGTCATCGCTCAGAGCAGCAAGCTGCCGATCTGCCTGCTCTAGCGCCTCTTTGCTAGCTGAGGTTTGCGGTAAGTTCTCTTGCCAGAATGAAATTTGCTCCACTTGGAAATGTGGATCCATGATTGACACAATCTGCTGCAGCTCCTCCAAATGCTCCCTGAGTTGTTCAAGGAACAAACAGCTACCCGTCAGTGAATTTAGCAAAACGTGGCTCCTATACCATCTCTTTTTGCTCTACACGTAGTATTGGTTTGAGAACACCTTTTTTTTTTGTCCAAGGCACCCTTCAATGATAGAGACTGACAGCTTCTGCATAATACAGTCTGGAAAGAGTGGATCCCCAGCTTCATCTACAGCTCGATACATCGACTCAAGGCAAAAAGCAGCGAGGCACATCCTGTTGACCTCAGCCTGCCACTCATCAACCTTCATCCTGCTCACTGAGGCTCGTCCTCCCCGACGTGCCTGAATGCCATGTACGTGTAGCACTCTCTTCATGAAAAGGAGTTGCTTTGCATCCTTGGTTGGTGTTTGAGACCCCCATCAATTGATCAACACGGAAACTAAAAACATCTTTAAAAACAACAACTCTTGCAAGTAAACAAGACTGCCCAGACTCCGTCATCGTCATCACTTCATGCCACAATCCGCTGGTCGTTTTGCAGACTCCATCCAGAAGCCAGCGAGGATCAAGAAGCGTGTCTTTGGCGAAGGCTGTCAGGGACGTAAGAAGCATTGGTACAGCCAAGCCACCAAAACGCCACGTCTTTAAATTATTAAATAAAGATAACAGTGACATTGATAACATCATCATTTTCTGAAACATCCCCGAGCCTGAGCTTTGCCATGAAAACTGATGAAGATGCCTCTCCACCAAGTTCCATGTGAGGTCTTCCACTCCGACCTTCGGCGCGGGCACCAAAAACCCGGGTTTGTCTACAGCGTTGTGACAAGGGTTAGGGCGCAACATAATTGAACTTATTGGGGATCTTTGGAACACATGCCAATTTTGTGCCAAATGGCCTTAAAGGAATACAGCTGAAGGGCAGCATCATCGTCCACACGATACTTCGGATTGTTTGCAGCAAATCCGTAATTGTTGTACTCTGCAATGGCGTCCATCCAGGCAGACTTATAGCCCTCTTTGGTTGACGGATATTTGATAGAATCCTGTCAAGGGAAGAAGGGTCCTTGGTTCTTGGTTCACATTCTTTCAAACATTGGGTCAGTGACAGGTATTTGATTGAAAACAAAATCTTGAATCTAATAGGTAGCACTTGCTATGGTCCTCGATGGATTTTTGCTGGGCTCTCTGAGCGAAAATCAAACATTTCTGCATCGGATTCTTCTTTTGACGTTCCGCTTGCTGTTCATGCACCTGCAAGCGTCGCCACTCATAGTTCACCACAGCCCTTTCCTGAATCACGGTGACTGTCAGGACCTGCACAGTCATCAAAAACCTGACAGGGAAGGTCTGTGAAACCCCCCAAAGAGCCTTTATGTACCACCCCCTGGCCATCAAAATCAAACTTCCTCCGGGGACGGTGCTCCCAACCGGACCAGCCCCCCCCAGACCTTCCGGAACCCTAGGTTTTTAAATTGTTTGACCTCCCATGACCTCCCAAAGACATCCAGGGACGGTGGTTTCAATCGGACCAGCCCCCCGCTCTTTCCCCAAAGACGTGATATTACATATTGTGAGCCCGGAATTATGGTCAGGGGACGGTACTCCCAACCGGACCAGCCCCCCCAGAGCCATTTAAGATTTTGGTCTCCTGGGACGATACATAAAGGGTCTTTGGGTGGTTTCTGTTGAGACTTGCAAAGTTGGTCTTTGGCCTTTGGGATGATTTCACAAAATCCGGACTCAGGAATCATCAGGGGGCCTTTGGAAGTCTTTCAGCTCATCGTCATCCATGCTGTCTTTGAGCTCCCTGAAAGTCCACAAGATAGAGAACCAAATGATAGATGATCTGCCAAGTCCTTTGGTTGGGAGGCACTTGCCCCAGGTACGGCCTTCCAAGACTCGGACCTCCAGCGGGTCCCGCCATGATTCGAACCCCTTGCTCAGTATGTCGAAGGCCGAGTTCAACCACGGCTGGAGAAGAGGCATCCCATCAGCAGGCCGCTGGAACCCCAGCCCAAGCAGCGGCAACTGGAAGGTCTTCCCGTGCTCGTCCTAAGGGTTGCAGGCCAAAAGTTTTACACTGGGTGGGGTTTCCGGTTTCCATGAAATGGCTACTTTATATTGTGGCCCCTCATCGGTTTGAAGAATCACAATCGCCCACACTTTCTTTTTCAGGGAAGGAGGCAGCTTTACAACACACCATGGAAGGAACCTGTCCAATCAGCCAGGGCGCTGGCACATCAAAACCACGTGGGTCAAGCGAATTGATGTCCCCGGAGTCTGCAACCGAATGGGTAATCCAGGTGTGGATCGACTCGTAAATACCTTCTTCAAGATGAGCCAGTACGTATTTCACCGGGTGTTGGTCTTGGTCCAAATCGAAGGACCTAAGCCGATACAACACCGAACATGCAAAACTGGTGTCAGGGCCTAATTAGAAACCTGGAGACCTGGAGAGTTTTCAGTAAGAGGCTTTAATCCAAAGGACTTGGCTGCCAGAAGGACCCGATGAACCCATGGCCGAGTCTTTGCAAGTTTTGCAAATGACTGCTCCGACCCAGGCGACTCCCGTTTTGGCATCGAGTACCACCTGCAGGCCAGAGACCTGGCCTACCTGCAGGCTTGATCAGGGCTGGAAGGTAGGGCAAGAGTCCACCCTGTAACTGTGACATGTTTGAGCATCAATGCACAATAATAACGAAACCGTTTAAAGAAGCTCGTGGTTCCTCGTGCTTTTGTTCCAATCGGCTGGCCTTCACACAGTAGCAGTAGCATTAATTGAACGTTTTGAAGCAGCTAATTGAAGCCTTGCTGTTTTCAGGCATCACACAATTGGCTCTAGAGAACAAATTGCAGCAAGATAAATAAACCCAAGGCAGGGGATGCTCATGGAGTTCCCTGCCATGCGTGGAATCGAATTCTTATTCAAATCGCCCTTCCAGCAGACCATCGGGGCACCACACCTCTTGGATTGCAAACGTGTGCATGGAATAACTTGGGCAGTGAGTAGCTCCTTCCCACTCATGAAGCGTTCCTTCTCCTGACAGTTGAATGATGTTGAAGGGCATTCATGTGATTTGGAATCTTGTTGGTCTCACCCAACAGGAGGGCTTGCATGCCTATGAAGATCTATGAAGCTTTGTGGCATGATGTGTCCTGGCCTCAGACCAGATCCTGCTACAGTTCGTCGTGAGGGTCATTAAAGACCCATCCCGTAGCTCGCCACGAGCACGCCCATTTGCAGCATATTGGGTCAGGTCTGGGTACCGGAACTCTTTCTCCAATCCACGATATGCCTGAAGGTTCCTTTCCTAAGCCACGGTGCCAGAAGCTGTTCATCAGACCCAATACCAGCAACTGAACCCCAATGACTGATTCCTACCATGAATAAACGACTGCATGATCGAATCTTCAATTTCCAGAATCAGAAGTAATTAGTCTTAACCACAAAATACTGAAAAATTGGGACAGCACGCCATGATTCTTCACCTGGTGTGAGAACTGCTTTGGGTAGTGTTTGCCAAAAGTAGTTTCTTGCTGATAGAAAAACACGAGCACATAGCACGTCCATCAAGGTTTCCAGGTTCGGACCGGACCACCTGATCTTGGAAGACCTGTAGCAAATGAGATACAGGCGAGGGCGTGCCACACCGAGGCCAAGCAGCCTCGGGTCGAGGCGAATGCCTGCCAGAACCCACTCCTTGCCCAACATGTGCTGGACCACTTTTTCTTCATACTCTGTCACATTTTCTACAAAAAGAATATCGTTGTTTTTCTGGTACTCCTGGAAATAGCTCTGATGAGATCGAAACTGCGGCCCCTGGTCCTTTCTTCTTTTCCCCATCATGCTGTAATCCACACATACCGGACCTGAAGAACACAAAATTCGTAGAGCTGGGAAAAAGTCAGTGACTACGAGACACTAGATACTGTTCAATAAGAAGATGGGTCTCTGGCCAGCGGTATTGCAATTGATGCCTCGGTAGGCCACGGGCCAGGCAGTATATGGCAACGTACATTCCATTTGACAGAGGGCAAAAGACTACTCAGTAGTAGGTAGTCGAGGTGCGGTAGGGATCTTTGCTGACAAGTTCTTTGCACATACGCTGGTGGGTCGAGCACCAGTTCACATGACCACTGGTGAAATCCACTTGGTTGATGTCAGGGTAGTTGCAATGCCCAGGAAACGTATGCTTCAAAATGTTCTGGCAATCTGGCATGATCTCGCATGAAGATCGTAACACTACATGCTGCACTGGCTTCACACGCTTCCTCCTCTCGGCTAGAAACTGTTGGGCTGCGGCCTGCAGACTCAATGCTGCCTGAACGGTGGCGGGCAGGCCAAAAACAAATCTTACAAAATAAGGGCTTGGCATTGCATCACGAGGTGTTCTGTCAACAAATAGCTTGTCAAGATGCACTCTCAGCACATCCCAATCCACTGAACGCCGAGCTCATAGACCATTTCCATTTTCTCAAACGGGAGGAAACCCAAACATCACCATACTTAGCTTTCAAGGTCTCAAGGAATGCATGTGCCCAGGAAAAGGTGCTGAGTACACTCATGAACCGCAGCGGATGCTTGTCCGAGGCCATTGGCACCGAAGTCTTCGGATATCGAGGTGGAGGCCTCAGGAACGGAAAAGAGCTTGCCGGTTTACGGAATGGGACATGGGTCAAACCTGAGTCACTCGGTGGATCTGAGCGGGGGGGCTTGTTCTTCTTGATGGTTTTCTTTACACTGGATGGCCTGTCACATTTAAATGTACTCCACCTCTGAACTCAGAAATAACATACATTCAACCCTCCAGCTCCCGGCCTTGAGGATTTGGACTGGGCAACCATGTGGACAGCTTCTCGAAGGCTCACCGTGCGCTTCGTCATTGAGCTGGTGGTCTACGCTCCAAAGAATGTGTTTAAGGTGTGTTTTTTCGTGGGTGGAAAACATACCATGTAATGTGCAATGTTGTCAGCACAATGGGGCAATTGATGCAAACTGCGTTGGAACCCATTCTGAGATCAAGAAACACAACTTATTGCTGTTATAAGTTAAAAGGACTGACAACACGAGGGGCGCGAACGACATCATAAAAAAAGCAAAGGGCCCGGGCTGATGATCGTTTCTCTCCCTGCGATCCCTGCGATCCCTGACTTCTAGTCATGGCCTGACGTGGGCATTGAATTTCATGAGCGGGGCCAGCCTGCTTAGCATGGATGGTTGCCCAACTTCAACTAATTGAGGCTGGTGTGGGTTTTCCAGCCAACCCAAAAAAGGGACGGGCTGTGGTCTCAAATCATCACAAATCCGAACAAGGAATTCCACCGCCCGTCTTGTGGCTTCTGTAGGCTGCTTGGACAGCAACACAGTTGCAAGACTCAAATAGTCTTTTCTCTTCTCTGCTTTCACGGGTTTCAAAGGCCGAGGTTCTCGTGGAATAAGGCCCATTCGATCAAGATACCGATGAGGAAACCCAAGGACAGCTTCCTACATGTGGGCAGGGTTTAGTAATTAGATTATATATTCACTCAAACCCCAATTCACTCATATTCCCTCTCACTTTCCCTATCCTATCATAACAGTGTAATAATCTGACATATGTATGCTCCTGGCAAAGCTGATCATCAGCGGCGTGGCGCTTGAGGAGGATGATGGTGTCCAATGGGTGTTCTTCCAAGCAGGCGCCCCGGCCGTTGGCAATGATTCGGATGTTCGATGGCAAGTCTGAGGTGAAGGGCGGTGAAGGGCACACAACATCAAGGAAGGACTATGTCCAAATCTCTAGACTCTAGAATTATCAGACCCAATCAGTGGCACGTAAATCTTGTTTTTAGTTCTGGTAGGCCCCTGGCCCTGTCTGGGCATCATGATCAGGCAGTGCACCCCTGTCTCATCATCTCTGAGACCTCCGGCGTAGGTCACTGGTGCTTTGGAAAGCCTGAGCGCGCAAACTCATCAGGGACGCGTGACATGAACATGTGGTTCAAGATATGTTTGGGTGGCATGATCTAGGACAAAGGCCAAGATCCCCAATCACGGACGCCCGACACGTACTGAACTCTGATTTTGGCATCCTTTCCTATCCACTCACGAATGCCGATGTGGGTAAGGATGTATTCCAACTTCCTGATGCGTTGTGAGTCTTTTGCCGGGCAGTGCATTCAAACAAAAATGCACTGAACAAACAGCAGCTGGTGCTAACATGTGCTAACTGAGGGTTAGTCTGTCGCACATCTTCCTCGTCCGAAAGACAGTCAATGTATCTCATCGCTTTGGCTACCAATCCGTAGATTTGGTCTTAGTAACATCAAGGTTTGCAGTGCCAGCAGCAACACTTTAGCATGAAGCCTTTTGTTTCACAGCTGAGTGCCCCAGAGAGGCCTAGCAAGAAGTAGAGTTGATGCAACATTCAATAAACATTGAAAATTGTTGTTACGGCCTCTCTTCTTTGCACTTGCTGCAAGAACATGTTATCCAAGAAACCTAAAGCATTGTGGGTGTGGCCCACCCTGCTGAACAACATGCTGGTCACTCTCATGCGCTGAGAGCTCACCAACCAACTCATGAACTTGATGACGTTGTTATTCTTGTTCTCTCTTGGGCAGTTATCAGCCTCGTGCTTGTGCAAGACCCATCAAGAAAGACCCCTGGTTCTGTCATGCGGTAACACTGTTTAAGCAACAGCAGACACCTTAAGGTTTCAACAAGCAACCCATGCCAAGAGCTGCGAGGGAAAAGCAACGCCGCGTTCCGTGCAAGCTTGCTTGGCGAAATCGATGGAACGGGCCCCTGTTTCTAGCACCGTGTTCGAATCACTTTGTGATCTTGGATCTAGTATCCAAAGATCTAGGCAAACTCCTGCTATCCAGCAACCCTGTATCTTGAAACGAGGACGTTGCTGGGTGGAGCATGCTTTTGTTGGACGCGAATTGGCATATCTTGGCACCGCCCACTTCGCTTGGTCCATACCATCCTTACGAAGCGCTGCGTGTTAAAGCCACCAATTACAAATCAACGACTATAGGGATCCGGCCCAGTGGATCACCAATGGCGCATCCTGGTGTCTCAATGGTCGCTGAGCCTAGCGGGTTTTAGTCGGGAACGCATCACAAATTCCGATTCCACATTATGTCCGCATTCACAGCAGGACTTGTTTAACGCCTGAAGATATTCTTCAAGTTCTCGATCTTTCTTCACAGCGTTGATATGATCAGCATATGATCTGGCTGCATTGTACTTGGACTGCACATCCTCGAGGTCGGATTGGTAGGGCTCACCCCCAATAGCGTTGCTTCCAATGACTGAGAACAGGCTTTGTCAGCTAAGTTTGGTTGCTGAGTCACACGTTTGTTTTTGAACTCATCTTTGCACTCGCAGCAAAAGTCGCAGGCAGCATGACTGGAAGCGGGTAAAAATCGAATCGTGTTCTCCCACCGACGGAATTGCCTCCAGAAATGACAATACCTGATGACAAACAAATCACAGAACCCAAAAGAGTTAATCCGGAAGAGCTGAAGAACTGGCCAGTTGTATTGCAACTGAATGACGATATGTCATCTCTCCCCATCTGAAGGTAAATCATTTTGATGCAGCCAGGTGATAGCCAACGGGTTGGAAGGCTTGAAATGGCCGAACCGAAATTGGTCTCAACCATCCTGACTGAGCGTTCCGATCGTCTAAATGCAGCAAAGTGCAGGTCCACACTCTGTCAAATCCCCAGGTGCGACCAAGAAACTGCGAGTAGTAGGAGTTGACTCCTAAAATGTGTAATTTTATCTCTGCATCTGTCTCCAGACTGTCCTCTGCAATGATGAGTGCAGCGTCATCCTCGAACATGCCATCTTCAGAACCTGTCAGAGACTCAGTGAGCAAATCCGGCTCACTATAGGCAAACTCACTTCTATCACCCTCAGTCAAGAAACCGCTAAACTCTTCCTGATGGTTCTGGCCATCATCTTCTTCGAAGATGACAGTTAGTTTCTCATGCCTTTTGGAATGAGATCGCGCAGCCCGTTGGAACCTAACAGACAAACAATGGTGTGGGAGTTTGCAATTAAAAACACATCACAGTGTGTAGCTGGTTTTGTAGCTGTGTAACTTTGTTGGCATCATGCCGGCCGCTTTGGTGTATTGCTCCAATAAGAACATGTTGATAGCCCTGGTCTTTACAGCAGACCTTTTCTTTACCTGGAGCTACAGAAACATGAAAGAATGCACGATGATTGACAATAAAATTGTCACATACTCAAGACTCTTGGATGAGTTGCAGCCCATGGAGTGCACCGCCGATCGAAACGTCCCTCGCAAATCCGCTGAAGCCTTTGATTTCCTAGCCCAAGTAGGGCTACACAGCACTTGGGAGATACAGGCCTCCGAAGGAGGAACCACTTCTTCCTGTCTTTGCATGGCCCTCCGACAATTTGACGGACCTCAGAACAAATTACATTGACCTCAAACCCTCACCAAAAGAAAGAACAGTCACACATCAGCATGGAATCTGGACATTGGGCCCCCTGACAAATCTGTCTTGAACAGCCGTAGCAAAGCTCCAAAAGATGGACAGAAATCGTAGCAAGTCATCTACCAAATCTATAAATTTCCTGTAGCAAGACTTCCGGCAGCACCTGCAGGCTGACAAGCCTGCCAAGCGTAGGACACGATCTCGGCTAGCCCCCTTGCTAGCATGCCTTCAGCAAAAATCAGGGTTGCGTGTAGCCCAAACAATGGACAAAAAAAGGTTCAGACCCTGAAGTGATTCCATTGCTGCTATACCAAAGCTGGGTTACGAGACACGGTCAATCTGCTTCTTCAGAAACAGCCGTCTGGAATTATCATAATTTGGCCGCTTCCTTTGGGACAACGTGCTAGGCATGTCCTTCCCCTGACAAGCCATGCATTCAGCTGCCTGGAACTCCAACAACGCCTCCTGTGTAAACTCCACTTTCCGGATTGGCACAGGCTCCAGTGAGTCTGACAAAGACCGAAAGAAATGCCTGCGAGAAAACTTGTCTTTGTCTGGTGAGCACTCATGCCTGACCAGGTGTGCCTCTGGACGATGTTGAGCTCTTTTCGCTGGCCCAGCCAAGGATCTGAAAAACCTGAATGCAAAGCGCAACTCTGGAAGTAGTCTGGCAGAACAGGGCGAGAACAATCTAGCTTAGTTTAATTGATTGAAGATGAGTGGCGTTCTCCTGTCGATCACCATTAGCTCATCAACAAGAACTTCACACCATGGCGGGGTATGGCGGGAAGATGTCTCGAACGTTTAATAAATTGAATTAAACAAAGGGCTCATGGGTGATCATGGATTATGCGTTGGCTGTCTACTGGTAACTTGTCTTGACTGGCTGAAGTATTTGGTTGGGGCCAGCTGCGAAGTAAACATCAACTGCAATCACTGGAGTCTGAATCAGACGTGAAAGAGCCGACTGAAGTGCAGAATCTCAGCTCCAACACCCTCCAAATGCTGTAGATCGTCGAGCCTGTTGCAGGGAGTGCTTTGAAAGGACATGAAAGGACCAGGAAACACGGTGTCGTTCATGGTCCTTTTGTCATAACATATTACCTTGACAGCCATGGGTCATGACCTTGTGGATGCTAGATTATATAATAGATTGAAATGAGAAGACATGAGAAGACACATAAGGTCAACAAGCGCCTTCAAAGAAAATGATCCCACCAGGAAAGCCACGCAGGACCTGACAATCAATGGATCATAATGGATCGCTCACATGAACCAACCCACAGGCCCGATAAGGTTTACAAATGCCACGTTTCCTTCCATCTTCTGATGACTGATGGCCAATCATTTGTCCCCAAAGCAATGACAGCCCCTGCCAGCCTGTAGAGAATTTCAATCACTGAAGTTCCTCACCGCGCCCAAGAAACCAACCATCCGCACAAAATAGCAAGAGTTATTGAGTGAGTTATTGCAACTTGTTGTGCACTGCCCCGCTTGCCCTGTTGTGGCTTAGAACCGCCATTAAATTTTTAGTGACTGATCATTGATCCTGATGACATGATGGATGTTAGTCCTCCCAGCGTGGACATAGAGGTAGCCCAAGCAGAGGTCCGGCATGCCAGGGTCCCTGGCACGGGAGGTATGCTCTACATACTGACTAGGGGCTGGGAAGCCACTGCCTGGAAGATGGAGATCACGGACTCACATGGAAACTATGGAGCAAAATAGCTACAGAGATCGGCAAAGCAAGCGAACTTAATTGCAGCCAACTATGGAGTGTGGCACCCAGATCTAATGTTATGAGACCTGAATAGAACGAAATCTACTTTACAATAGTTGACTATACCATTTCACCTGATTTGACCACTGTTGGACCCGCTTTGACCAGACAGCCGCGCTTTCCGCCTGCCGCGGCAGGCGGAGTCGCAGTCGATCGAAGGCCGTGACGCCGATCAGCGGGTCGCGTTGGTGAGGCGACGGTGAGGTCCCCAAAGGGAGGAAATGGATCAGTACATTGTTACAGCCATTGTTCCGAAAAACCGAAGGTGTTCTCTCGGCCGGAAGTATCTTGCAGTATATGGAAGTATCTTGCATAAGGCCCCCTATCTGACCAGCAAGAAATCAAGAGACCCTAAATCTTCCAACTGTGCAACATGTTTGCCTTGTCTTGTCATCTAAAAAGCCAGCTGCAGAAATATGGCGCTGTCTTGGAAGATCCAGCCTTTCGGGAAAGCGCAAGCGACCATGTTTGGTGGGGGAGTATTGACTCACAGCCATGTCAAGACATGTCTGAGGTATTTTTCACAGGTCATCGACATGTCTATTAAGGCTGGAAGATGACATTGACATGGAAAACAATAATGTTAACCTCCAGCTTCTTCAAAGTGACCTTTTGAAGGTTCCTAAGTGACCCGTATAGGAGGCTTGTTTGTGACCTCAAACCAGGTTATCAAGTTCGGTCACTTTGAAGAACCAGGCTATTGTAATCCTATATTCTCCTCCAAGAGACCACTACATTCCGGCGAAGGACTGCAAATCGGGAACCCGCAATCGGCCAAGCGCAGTGAAGGACACGAAGCACCCTCAAAAGGACCGTCAAAGGATGCTTCGTCCATTTGTTGCAACGGCATCCAGTCGTACCCAACCTCAGGTTCGGTACATTTCCGTGAGTTTCTGGACCCTCCTGGCATCTAGTGTTTC